GATACATAGTGAGACCTTATCCTAAGGAAAAAAAAATACAAAGAGTGTGTTGTGTTCTTTGTGTGCACATACTTAATATAGGGTGGGGTTCAGAGACATGTTAGAAACAGTTCTAATCCTTGGTCGATGCCATGGTCATATCTCAAAATGCTCGAATTCACTAAAAGAATGCTTCTTGGGTGCTGCTAAATGAATTTCCTGGCTCGGGAGTGGTCCAGAATCTTAATCCCTGAAGATGATGCTTTGAAATACAAAAAGGATCTGGTTTTCCTTTTGGGTGATGGAGAATTTAAGGAGTGAGAGATCATAGCCCTGATTCTAGTTGAATGATTCATTTTGACATGAAAACACAAAAAAAGACAACAAAACAAAATGCCTGATGATGATTAAAATCCATTCCATACCTCCATCCTCAGCCTGGGATGGTCCAGCGTTTTATTTCTCCAGGACCCTATGCCCAGGCCATAAAGAGTGTGGCTGGAATGAGCTTTGGTACTTTTTGTCCTTACAGTAATCTTTTTTTCTGCTTTTCTTTTTTATTGAAAATAGATTTTTTTCATACACTTTCCCCTACCACACTTTTTACAGGTCCTAACTCACACCTCTTCTCCTCAAAACAATCAGACATCTAAAGAATACTCATAGAATAAAAGAAGACAAAGAAAACACAAGCAAACTGGATTAGGACAAATCAAGCAGAAGGAAAGCCAGAGAAAAAGCACAAGAAATACAGGTAGAATCAGAGACACACATGTTTGCACACACAGGACTGCAATACAGAGACCCGGATGTTATAATATATACACAAAATACATGGAAGTTAAAAGTCAATGAATAAGCTGGGTGGTGGTAATGCATGCCTTTAACCCCAGCACTTGGGAGGCAGAGTCATGAGGATCTCTATGAGGTCTACAAAGTGAGTTCCAGGACAGCCAGGGCTGTTACACAGAGAAACCCTATCTCAACCCCTCCCTGAAGAATAAAGAAACAAAGCCCTGACACAAAATTTATGTGATAACAAGACCCCAAGATGCCACTGAATTCATTTTTTTAGGGGATTTTGGCCATGTACTGTCCTTAAGAGTGATTTGTTTACAGTAGTTTTTAAAAATGAAAGTTAGATTTTAAGATTACATTTATTTATGTACGTATGTGTTTAAGGTGTGTGTGTGTGTGTGTGTGTGTGTGTGTGTGTGCATGTCACAATGCAGTGTGGCAGTCAGAGGACAACTTGCAGGTTCTCCCTTTTCACCATGTAATTTCCAGAGATCAAACTCACTTTGTCAGGCTTGGCAGCAAGCACCTGCACCCACTGGGTCATCTCGCCAGCCCACAACCTAATAGGACCAAAGCTAAACTTCCCTATTACTTCCAACCAGGATCCTCATTTTTTGAGAGGAATCTCCATCGTTGTTTTAGGGTGTATCCTTTCCCACATTTATGGTACATTTCTCCCTGTACATGTGGGCCTGAAAGAAAAACCAGGCAACTCTGTGGTGTGTTTTGTATCCTACAGTCTGTACTCGATAGTTTCAGCTCAACTTGACAGGCTAAAGTCATCTGAGAAAGGAGCTTGTCAGTGAAGAAAATGCCTCCAAAAGACTGTGGTGTAGGCAAGCTTGTAGAGTAGGGCATTTACTTTTTTTTATTTAAATTAGAAACAAGCTCTTTTGGCATACCAATCCAAGTTCCTTCTCCCTCTCCTCCTCCCCTGCCCCCCACCAACCCCCATCCTATCCCCTTTCTGCTCCCCAGGGAGCTTCAAAGTCTCTCCAGTCATTTGGAGCAGAGCCTAGGCCCTCCCCTGTGTGTCTAGGCTGAGAGAGTGTCCCTCTATGTGGAGTGGGCTCCCAAAGCCCATTCATGTACTAGGGCTAAATACTGGTTCCACTGCCAGAGGCCCCATAGATTGCCCAGGCCTCCTAACTGACACCCACGTTCAGGGGGTCTGAGTTGGTCCTGTGCTGGTTTCCCAGCTATCAATCTGGGGTCTATGAACTCACCCTCGTTCAGGTTAGCTGTTTCTGTGGGTTTCTCCAGCCTGGTCTTGACACCTTTGTTCAGGTCTCTTCCCTGTCTGCAAGTGGATTCCAGGAGTTCAGCTCCGTGTTTCTGTGGGTGTCTACTTCTGTTTCCATCAGCTACTGGATGAAGGCTCTGGGATGGCATATAAGGTAGTCATCAGTCTCATTATTGGGGAAGGGCATTTAAGGTGGCTTCCGCAATATTGCATAGATTGATAGTTGGGATTATCCTTGTAGATCTCTGGACATTTCCTTAGTGCTAGATTTCTCTTGAAACTCACAATGTCTCCCTCTGTTATAATATCTCCTTTCTTGCTCTCCTCTATTCTTCCCCTGACTCAATCTTACTGCTCCCTCATGCCCTCCTCTCCCCTTCTCTTGTCCTTTCCCTTTCTCCTAACTCCCTCCCCCTCCCCCCATGCTTCCAATTTGCTCAGGAGATCTTGTGTAGGGCATTTCCTTAATCAGCGATTGATGTGGGCTGGTCAAGCACTTTGTGGATGGTGCTGTCCCTGGGCCAGTGGTCCTGGGTTCTATAAGAAAGCAGGCTGAGCAAGCCATGTGGACCGGGACAGTAGGCAGCACTCCTCCATGGCCTCTGCATCAGCTCCTGCTCCCAGGCTCTAGTCCTCTTTGAGTTCCTGTGCTGACTTCCTTCAATGACTGCATTGTAGATACATCAGCCAAATGGACACTTGCCTCACCAAGGTGCTTTGGTCATGGAGTTTCATCCCAGTAATAGTAACCCAACCTAAGATACCGCTCTGTCCTTATTATTTTACAACTTGGGTTTGGGGTACAACATTTCCTGAATATTTTCTATGTCACTGTACTTTGATACCCATCCCTCCCCTCCCTGACCCTTCCCCTCCCTTTCTCTTCTCCCCCTTCCTTACTCCCCTCTCCCCTTCCCCTCTTTCCTCCCTCCACTCCAGCCCTGTCCCTTTCCCCTAACTCTCCTCTTGCCTTCTCCCCCTCCTCTCCCCTTCTTCCCTTCCTTTCCCCTCCCTCCTCATCTCTCCTCCTCTCCTCTTTTCCCATCCCATCCTATTTCATATTTTATATTTTGAGACAGGGTGGCCTTGAGCTATGTATAATTAGGAGATGACCTTGAATTCCTGATTCCTTCCTCCATCATCCTAATGCCAGACTATGAGGTCATGCTGCCATGGCCAATGTTGCAATGGTCTCCTGTGTGTGTCACTCTGTGTCTGTCTATCTGTCTCCCCCCCCCCCAGAGTGGTGTACGTAAGTGGAATCCACGGGTCATTTTCAAGGGTCGTCCTGCATCTCTTGCCTTATTTTTCAACCCAGGGTCTCTCACTGAACTTGGCCTTCTCTATTTCTGGTAGACTAGCTGGCGGATGGTCCCCCATCTCTGCCCGTCCTTCCAGTGCGGAGGTTAAAGCTCCCTCCGCCATGTCTGGCTGGGGGTCTGAACTCAGGACCTCATGATGGTGCCACAGGTTCTTAACCCTGTTTCACTTCCCCAACCTCCCGACCCCCCTTAAAGATGGCTATGGCCATGCTGAGTTTTTAAACTTGGGGCTACCCCAATAATTAGTGCTGTGCCATGCAGCCTCCCAAGTGAAACCCTGTTATCACCACTTCACAGGTAAGAAATAGGCTCAGAGGAGGCTGCCTTGTTCCTATGCTGCAGGGATTTCTCTCTAGACACATAGTGTTAATCAGACCTTCTCCTTTCTTGTGTATTCCATTTGCTAGGTGAGGCTTTTCCTCCTCCTGGTGTTTTCCTTTTTGAGTTTTGTTCAGAGTTGTCCAGTCTTTCTTCTAGTGACATCCTATGAGCTTCAGGGAGTTTAAACAGAGCCCTTGAGTTTATCCCCTTGGTATGTTTTTATTTTTTACTTTTGGTCTGGTGTTGTCATGGAAATCTTAATTCTTTAAGAAAACAATTTCTGCCAGGGGGTGCTGGCACGCGCCTTAAATCCCAGCCCTTGGGAAATAGACAGGTGGATCTGTGAGTTTGAGGCCAGCCTGGTCTACACTGTGGGTTCCAGGTCAGCCAGGACTGTCTTTTTTTTTTGTGGTTTCATTTCTCGAGACAGGGTTTCTCTATGGCTTTGGAGGCTGTGCTGGAACTAGCTCTTGTAGACCAGGCTGGTCTAGAAATCACTGAGATCTGCCTGCCTCTGCCTCCCGAATGCTGGGATTAAAGGCTTGTGCCACCAAAGACGTGGTTAGCCAGGACTGTCTTAAAAAATGAAATAAAAATCCAAAACCAAAACCAAACAATAAACAAACAGGCAAGCAAAACCCAAGCAATTTTCTACCATTTTTCTTTTTTTGATGAATTTTATCCTAAATTTAATTTGCTCGTTGGCAGACTCATATATATATATACATATGCAATTCTGATTACTGTCATTTCACTCTCTGCTTTGTCTATCTCAACCTGAGTCCTCACTGTCCCACAAATCCTTGTCCTGCACTGACATCACTTTGTTCTGTTTTGATTTTGTGACACACTAAGTTTCACCAAGGCTGCCTGTGTGACAAAGGTCATGAAGTGAGAAGGAAATAGCAGGGACCACAGATGAGAAGGTTCTGGAAATGAATTCTAGTGAGCCAGAAGTTCAGAAGGGGACTAGGATGGAGAGCCAGCCAAGAACCGTCTCACAGGCGTGGTGGATCATGCCAGAGGCAAGAGGATGTCTGTGAGTTCCAGGACAGCCTGATCTACATAAGGAGCCCAAGACAGCCAGGGCTACCTAAGGGTTTTGTTTGTTTGTTTGTTTGTTTGTTTTTGAAGATCAAGGCTGTAAGGGCAAAGACAGGCTAGATTAGAGGACGAGGTCGCTTTGATTCATCCGCCCTCACTGGGGATTTTAAGAAGGGCACTGCCCATGGTGACGCGTTGGCTTGATTTATCATTCGTAAGCATCCTAGGCAAGGTGAAAGTTGAGACTCACGAAGTACAATTCTCAATTCATCTTCTCCTCCCTCTGGTACTCCATAGGGTTCCTCCTTGGTCTTTAGCTCAGCAGCCTCGAATCCCGAGCCCATGACACCCTTGTGGGCAGCTCGTCCCTGGACCAATCACAGCCGCACACATGAGCTGGAGTTCGTTCTGCTGGGCTTTGCACACGTGCCCTCCCTGCGCCCAATGCTCGCAGTGCTCTTCCTGGCCATCTTCCTGCTCACGCTGCTAGGCAACACGCTTATCGTCCTGCTCACCAGCCTGGACCCAGGCCTGCGAGCGCCCATGTACTTGTTCCTGCGCCAGCTGGCCCTGGTGGAGATCTGCTTCTCACTGGACGTGGCGCCCCGTCTGCTGGTGACCCTGCTGCGACCTGGTCGCGGGATGTACCCCATAAGCTGTGCCCTGCAGCTGTTCTTCGTGCTGTCCTGTGTCACATCTGAGTCCTTGCTCCTCACAGTCATGGCCTGGGACCGCTTCCTGGCCATTTGCAGGCCTCTGCACTATGGTACCATCATGAGCTTGAGGCTGTGCCACCTGCTGGCCACCAGCTGCTGGCTCGCAGGAACTCCCGTGGGTCTGGTCTTCACCATCTGGCTCTTCAACTTCCCCTTCTGTGGGTCTCGGGGCATCCGGCACTACCTCTGTGACATACCACCTCTGCTGAGCCTGGTGTGTGCAGACACCAGAGTCTTCGAGGCCAGTGTTTTCATGATCACTGTGGTACTTTTGATTGTTCCTGTATCTCTGATAGTCACGTCCTATACCAGGATTCTGGTTACTGTCCTTCGGATGCCGTCAGCCTCTGGGCGCCACAAGGCCCTGTCCACCTGTGCCTCCCACCTCGTCGTGGTAATTCTGTTTTATGGCACAGCGGGGGTCATCCACTTGTGCCCCAACTCCAGCTACTCCCCTGAGAACAAGCAAGTGGTGTCCCTGTCCTACACCATGTTGACCCCCATGCTCAACCCCCTCATCTACAGCCTGCGGAACAAGGAGGTCAAGGCTGCCTTAGTTCGTGTCTTCATTCAAAGACGAGGTACCTTTACCCCCTGACCTCTCTATATGACTTCATTTACCCGATTCCTTGGGGAGCGTTTCTAACTTAGTGGTCTTGAGGACATCAATTCACAAGTACGTTAAATCCTTTCTTCAAGACTCTATTGCCGGGATGGCCATGTTTGTTGTGTGGATGACGTCACAATTCTCTAATGGCCCCTTGACCACAGCCAAATTTTCAACTTGCCTCATGGATTCAGTAGGTAACATTCTGTTTCCCCACTGATGTAGCAGCTGGAACAGAGTTCAAAAGCACAGTGATGGCATCTTTCCCATGCACGCAGAACTTCCAACTGTAGCAAGGAAAAAGCAAATTTCAGAAAGGAAACGTTAAATTTGAATCTCATCTAAATCAACTGATTTATGGTATGTTGTGATTTGAGTATGAAATTTGCTCCACATGCTTATGTGTTTCAACTCATGGTCCCCCCATGGTGGGTGCTGTTTTAGAGGTAGGAGAATCTTTAGGGGGTGGAGTCTGGATGGAGGACATGGGTCACTGAGAGTCAACCTTAATGCTTCATAGCCGCCGGGTCCCCCTTACTGTTTGCTTCCTGACTGCTGACACAATGTTTCATAATTCCTGCGCCCTACTGCTTCTCTGCACACGGGGAACTGAACCCTCAAATGGAGGGCCAATCAGTCCTGAAGAACACGTGTTACTCTTGCAGAAGCCTGGTGTTCAATTCCCAACACCCACCTCTTGGATCTCACTGCCTGTAACTCCAGTTTTAGGGGGATGTGACGCCCTCTTCTGGCCTCCATGGACACTGCATACACATGGTGAACATGCCTGCTCTCTGACCCACAGATATAAAATAAAAATAAGAAATATTTGAAAACTGTGCAACTGTGATCCACAATAAGCTTTTGTTTTTGTTTTTGTTTTTTGTTTTTGAGACAGGGTTTCTCTGTATTGTTTTGGAAGCTGTCCAGGAACTTGCTTTGTAAACAAGGCTGGCCTCGAACTCACAAAGGTCTGTCTGCGTCTTTCTCCCGAGTGCTGGGATTAACTTGCTTTTTGTCACACATTGGACATGGTGGCAAGAAAGGTATCTAACACACGTTATGAGGATATGCCATCTGATCTTAAAAATATTCAAACCTAAGAATTACCTGCATCATTTTATTTGTCAGTAAAAGAGAGTTAAAATCAGCTCTCAAAGATTAAAATGAGCTACAGTAATGCATTTCACATTAAGACACAGCACAATAAGGAGCCGGGTTTAGCCGTGTATATCTGTAATCCCAGCAGAGGGGAGGCAGAGGAAGCAGAACCCAGCAGTGCGAGGTCAGCCTGGTCTACTTAGGGAATTGCAGGCCAGGAAGGGCTGTAGTGAGACTCTGACTGTAAGACCAAAACAAACCGCAAAGTTATGTTAGGATTGGAAGCAGCCTCACAGTGTGTGTGGCTACACAGCTTGCCTTTGATGTGGGATCATTAAGCTAGCTGGAGGACACTTGGATTTACATTATTATTCTCAGCACCTGGTAGTCTCACTAGGTGACTCTTCCTCTTTTGGTTTTTGGTGGAATTTCTGTCTGAAAAGTAATTACGACATCTGTCTGCCTATCTCTCTGTCTCTCTCTCTCTCTGTGACCACAGGGTGCACGTGTGGGGGTTGGATGATAACTTGAGGGACTGGGTTCTCTCCGTCCACCACATGGGTGCTTGGGTTTCACACTGAGGTCATCAGGCTTGGCGGCCAATACCTGTCTCCATGTAGCCCTGTCATCTTCCCACAAGGGTCTCTTTAAATTAGTGTATACTAATGAGAAAGACAAGAGGGTTCATGACCATGTGTGTACGCATGTAAAATTATATTAATACTGCATTATCCTCTCTTGTACCTCCTTCCGCAGGCACTGGATTCCTTCTTCCAAATACTTCTTCTACTTTGACATCTTAAACAAACTCCATTATGTAAATAAGAGAAAAATGTGAATTTTGTCTGATTTTGACATACTTTCCTTAACACAACGATCTTCAGTTCCACTTGTTTTTCCAAAAATGACATAAACTTCTTATTTTGAAAATGATTTATTCTTGTTAGGTTTAGTTACATGAAGGTGTGTCTGCATGTGAATATGAGCACACGATTATCAGAACCCCCAAGGTCGGAGGCATCCGTTCCCCTGGACTTGAAGTTACAGTCAGTTTCTAGGTGCCTGATGTGGGTACCTGCACCTGAGCTCAGGTCCTGTGGAGGGGCTACAACGGTCATGTTGTTAAACTTCAAGTATTCTCATTTACATCCATACTTTTGTCCAGGAACCTGGTTAAGATACTTGTTCTTGTTTGTAATGTTGAGAACAAGTGAGTGTGGGCTTGGCTGAAGATTATATCAGCCCACTTCCAAGGCTCACAATATAAGTACTCAGGCATTATGCTGGCCTGCCGTATCACCTGACAGAATGCACTCAGGCAGCGCATATTCTGCACGCAGATGCAAGGGACCCCTTTAAAAGAAAGACCCCGCCCACTTAGGTTATCTTTTCCAGCTGTCTTTGCTGCTTCTCTCTTTCCTGCTTCTGTTTTTCCTGATGTTCTCCTGGGGCTGACGGGACGTTTCCTGTCTCCCTCTTCTCTTCCGTCCTCTCTGTCTCTGTGTCTCTTTACCTCTTTTCTCTTCCCGCCCTGTAAAGAGAAGCTTTGTCCTTGAGAGGAGCCTTCCCGCCTGGTTCCAGAGCCGCTTTCCCGCCAGCCTGGTTCTAGAGCCGTATCAGTCCCAAATAAACACACAGGAGGCTATATTAATTATGAAGCTGTTGGCCTTGCTTGTTTCTTACTGGCTAGCTCTGACTTAAGTAATTACCCCATAGTTGTTAATCTAAGTATGTTTCTTACAGGAGAATAGTTCCGGGCTTCCTACCCCATGGCGTTACATGTTGACTCTCTTGTGTTTCTCCTTCCCAGAGTCCTTCTGGACTCCTAGTCCCTCCTATCTAGATTCCCTATTGGTCAGACAGTGCTTTATTGACAAATGCACAGGACTTCCCCAACACCGCCCCCTCCCCTTTCTAATAAAACTCCTCACTTAGGCTCTGTCTGCCTGGCGTGTTTATCCCTTCACCTCAGTCTTGCTCATCTGCCATGGAATCCCCCCACTCAGGGTTCTCCTTGAGCTTCCTCATTGATGTGTTCTGGGCCACTAAGGAAAATGGATTAGGAAAAAAAGGAGAATAAAAATCCCCAACTAAGTGAGGGGAGGTGTTACAAGATCAGAAGTTCAGACCCACCAGCAGCTGCAACAGCATTGGCAGCTACTCCCTTAGCCCACAATCACAGGTTGTGCTCCGGCCATGGAATCCCAGAGAACAGATGTGACAATTAATTCTACCTAACCAAAGGCAGTTAGTGTCTTCTCAAGGCCTCGTCTTAAAATTTGTATGAAAAATTGAGATGCTATAACTATGTATAAAGACTTACTGTGCTAAGTAATCTCTGTAACTATGGGAACCCTAACGAGACTTGCAGTCTCAGGACTCTTGCTCACTTCTCATGGCCTTCTCTTTCTGATAACCTTTACTATACCCTGCAAACTAGGACTTGCAGACTTGGGACTACCCCCTCCCCTCCCTTTTTCTTTTAAAGTGCCTTGCTTTTGCTGCCCTCCTGACAGAGTTGAGCCCCAGCGAGTTGGTTTTCCTGAAATAAATGGACCTTCTTGTACTTGGATTTGGTGTCATTAAGGTCCTTGAGCCTTGGGGTCCTCTCTGAGTGGGTACAACAATCATAGCACACGATACATCTCTAGGAGGAGGATGGGAGAGCTGGAGAATGGGGAGGAGTGCTGTGGAGTGCTGTCCCCCAGACATGACACACCCGTTGCACACATGAAGTTATAGCAGCTGGGACCACCCACTCAGGACCAAGCCGGTCAGACATGCCAGCATGAGGTCCAATGGTGCTTTGCCATGGGTGTTGGGTCCCCTGGAACTTCAGTTACAGACAGTTGTGAGCTGAAATGTGGGTGCTAGGAATTGAACCCAGATCCTCTGGAAGAGCGTTCAGTACTCTTAAGTGCTGAGCCATCTCTCCAGCCCTTGGCAGCCCCTTTCCTATAGTGTGGTCCCTGGAACGTTGTCTGAGCCCATGGATGATCCTATGCCCATGCACTTAGGGACAGCACTGATTAGATTATAAGATTATAAGAGAACATGGGGTTGAAAAGGAGATGTTATTGGGAAAGCAGGGGGAGTTGGAGGTGGGGAAATGAGGGGTGGATGTGTGTAAAATACATGGTAGGCATGTACAAAAATCTGAAAGAACAAATAAAAATTAAAACCACAAATCCCGTCTGCATTGAATACATAAATACTTGTTTTTCTTATATTTTGCAATCAATACATCATAAGCAATATTAGGTAGCCCTCATATTATATTTGATATACAAGTGACTAGGGGAATATACATAGACTATCTGCTAGTACTGCCACAACTGGCAGCACTATTCTAGAAGGTTGTGGAATTGGGGGGCAAGCCTTGAGGTTTGAAGGGGGCCCAACTCCCCTTCCTCTCTATGTCCCAAGGGCTCCTGGCCATGCCAGGGAAACTGAGAAGGGATTGAAGCATCAGTGTGAGAAGCCAATGGATCCCAGTTCTACTGTGATGAGTGAAGAGGATAAATGAGGAAGGTTTGCATGGACCTCCCAGTGGGAGAGCACACACAGCCCTTCCTTCTTTCTGGGAGAGACTTACCTGTGGGCACAAAGCAGAGAGCTGCAGAGGGGCAGCTGGAGCAAGTCCATGTGGCTTTGGATCCTGGCACCACCACTCTTTGGCCATGAAACATTGATAACGTCACTTCTGTTTGTCGTCCATGAAATGAGATTCATGTAGGACACATTTTATAGGGCTAGAGAATGTCAGTTATTTAAAATGTTTTATTCTGTTTTTAATCCTGGAGGCTGCAGGTGCCTACAGAGGCCACAGGCATTGGATCCCCAGGAACTGGATTACAGCTGCTGTGGGGGTGCCTGGAATGGATGCTGGCACTCAAACTCAGATTCTGGAAGAGCAGCACTCATTCTATTTTTTAACTTTTTTTAAAGTTATATTTATTTAGTATGTACCCAGTGTTCCGCCTGCATGCATCCCTGCAGGCCAGAAGAAGGCACCAGGTCTCATACCGATGGTTGAGACCATGTGGTTCCTGGGACCTGAACTCAGAACCTCTGGAAGATCAGTCAGTGCTCTTAACCTGTGAGCCATCTCTCCAGCCCTAGTACACATCCTTAAGCACTGAGCCATCGGTCCAGCTTCTGCCAATCATTTGAAAGTGCTGAGATTGGAGCAGTACCTGGAGCATGACGGAACAAAGTAATCACTCTGCTCACTGTGCAGTCAGCATCACTAATTTTAGCAGGCTCTTTGAAACACCATCCACATACTGTGCAACTCGCCCAATTTAAAGTAAAAAATTTAATATTCTAGCTGGCCGGAGACAGAACCAGGTGGATCTCTGTGAAGTTGAGGACAGCCTGGCTACAGCCTCCATAGCTACATAGAGAAATTCTGACTCAAGAATGTTCTTTAGTACATTCACGAGGATGTGGCTCCATCCCACATACCTCATCACTCCTTAAAGAGACCTTGTGACCATTGAGTAGATGTTCCCGAAATGTCTTGTCCCTACTCAACTTTTTTCAGTCTCTATGGATAGGACCATTGGGGGATATTCATGTAAATTAGTATCCAGAGTAGCCCCCACCTTTTGCCCCATAGCAAAATATTTTCAAGGTTCATCTGCATTGTAACACACGCCTAGCATAGATTTCTTTCATTTTAATATTGATTCTAGTATTCCATCATGTGTGCATGTGCACACCTGCGTGTTTGCACGTGGCTGTTCAGAAGGTGCCAGAGACTGAACCTAGACCAATGTGCATGCTAAGCAAGCATTCTTTTTTGTCTTCCTTTGTTTTAAGACTGAACTATGCCCTAGCACCTCACAGGGGGATTCTAGATGTGTGCTCTATCAATGAACCATACCCTCAGCCATTCACTGGTGGGGTACAGGCAAACATTACACCAATGAGACATGTCCCATGCCTCTCTCAGGTAGCATCTAGGTAAATGATCTATCATTAAACAACATTCCCAGCACCTCATTGGTGGATTCTAGGCAGGTAGTCTGCCACTGATATGTTCCCCGTGCCCTCAGTGGAGAATTCTAGGCTAGAACAGCACCACTTGAGCCACACCCCTCATCTCCTTCCCTGGTGAATTCTAGACGGGCACCTACCCCACCCAATGAGTTATGTCCACAGCCCCAGCTGAGTTGTTTCTACATGATTGGGGCTATTGTGAGTGGCACAGATGTAAATACCATAGACAGTGTCTTGTATAGATTTGTGCTTTTCTCTGACTTGGGTGTCTACCAAGGGTGTAAACTGGACTATAGGACACCTCTGTGCTTGACACTCTTAATAAGCCATCGAATTTTTAATGTTATTATATATTTGTTCACTTTCACACTATAATTGTAGGACATATTCCTATAATTTTTGGAGTACTGGTCTACCCTGAGCATAGATGACTCAACTGATGATGGAAACACCCCTAGACGTTCATATCTTTTTGGTGAAAGAACCTCGAAACCACACCCTCTGAACTTACAGTTTGGGATATATCACTAAAATTAATTTCTGAAATAAATTCCCTTTTAAACACCCACATGTTTCTGTTTGTATGAAGAATAAAAGAGACCAGCCTTGTGGCTGTGTGTGTAAAGGCACCTACAGGGAAGCCTAATGACACAGTGTTGTCTTCATGACTGGGGTGGTGGAAGCAGAGAACCAACTCCCACAAGTCATCCTCTGAACTCCACACACACAAACACACACACAAATTAATTAGTTAATTAGTTAGCTGAAAATACACATGTAATTAAAAACTTTAAAGAGAATAAGGGGGTCTGGAGAGATGACTCAGCAGTGAAGAGAGAGTACCGTCCTTGCAGAAAACCTAAGTTCAGTTCCTGGCACATCCTGGATGTCCCACAAACGCCTGCAACTCCAGAACCAGGAGATTCGATGCCCTCTTCCGGCCTCCTTTGCCTCCTGCAGTCACATGAGCATGAACTTCAAACACAACATACACATAATTTTTAAAAACTAAAATAGGTGGCTGGAGAGAAGGCTCAGAGGTTAAGAGCAGTAGCTGCTCTTCCAGAGTCCTGAGTTCAATTCCCAGCAACCACATGGTGACTCACAGCCATCCTTAATGAGATCTGGTGCCCTCTGCTGGTGCATAGCCATATATGCAGGCAGAACACTATACACATAATAAATTAATTAATTAATTCATTAATTATATAGACTTTAAAAGACCCTCTGAACTACCCAACACAGTGTTTTTCTTCTCCAAACTTAACATGAAAATATTCCCACCTTCTTTGTCCTGTGGGTAGTGATCAAAATACACCATGCTGTTAAGTGATTATCATATCCCTTGTTCTCCATGTATCATCAAATGATGTGTCCTGTTATTTTGTATCACAAGAGCTTGGTCTCAGAGCCTATGCATGGTTTTGGAGCACTCCCAGTGTACCTGTAGAATGATAGAGGGAACACATTCCTCCTATGCTCTGCTTCCCTCACCCAAAGTGGCGGCTGGCGCGTCTGCATCTGTGAGCCGAAAGAAAATAACCTTTTCGCATTGTAATCTGATTGTCTTGGGTGCTTGTTAGAGCGGTGAGAAGTTGACTAACAGAGAGAGTACAGGCCCAAGTTTACTGGCACCTTTGATTTATAATCTGTTCCTGCTGGTTTATCCCATGATCACCTATGTCATAGTGGTGTGGAGTTTTGATCTGGGGAAACTAAGGCACAAGATCAAAAACTGAGGCTGTGACAAGCTCAAGATGTGAATTTGGTCTCTCTGCACATGCAAAAACAGTGTGTGGAGAGATGGCTCAGCAGTTAAGACCATGGACTGCTCTTGGAGAGGACCTGAGCTCAGTTCTCAGCATCTACATCTGGCGGCTCACAACAGCCTGTAACTCCAGTTCTAGGATATGCATCCTATGCATTCTGCAAACACAGGCACTCAGGTGCACATACGTACACACAGACACACATGTATACCTAACTAAAAAAATAAAAATTTAAAAATCAGCATTCCTTTATGATACAAGTCCTGGAAAATTTCAGAATAGAAAGAAGGTGCGTCAAGACCATAAATGATCTATAATATACCTATAGCCAAACATTTTATTAAATGGAGAAAAACACAAAGCATTTCTAACCGTTTTAGGGGAGGGGTTGGTTTTTCGAGACAAGGTTTCTCTGTGGCTTTGGAGGCTGTCCTGGAACTAGCTCTTGTAGACCAGGCAGGCCTGGAACTCACAGAGATCTGCCTGCCTCTGCCTCCCTAGTGCTGGGATTACAGGCATGCACCACTACGGGCTGTCTGGTCTTGTTTTAAAGACAGAGAAATGCAAAGTGCTCACCAGGAATCTCCAGCTCACTCCTGCTTGATCCGGCTATTCCTCCCTCTTCAAACCCCTCCCTCTCAGAAAAAAAACCTCCAAAAATTCCAGTTCTCCAGTGTTGGTGGCCAATCCCCCGAAGCTGGTAGCTGCTCAAGACCCTGCTTAGCTAAAAGCGTGCCGTGTGCCATACTTGGGTACAAACCCGTCATCACCCCCCATCCGGCTACACGGTATTTAAGCTCCCTACTTTAGAACCGCCAAGTGAATTTTCTCCTGCCCCACTCTCTGGGGCCTGGAGGATCACCCAGGAGTCCTTTGCCAAAATAAACCAGCTCTATTACTTTTTAATTTGGCTGGATCTGGCCTACTGTGTCGGTGGAGAAACCTACCATAGAGGACCAAAAGGCTGAGAGGGGCAGAAAGAAGAGGTTTTGGTGGTAACTGTGGTCCAAGTATATGATGTAGTTGAATGAGGACATGTATGAAAGCCCTCATGGTGAACGAGAAATTTTCAATCCTCCTGCCTCTGCCATGCATTTCTGAGAATGAGATTGTTAAGTTTGTATTTTGCCTGATGACTGGGATAGAAAAAAACAAAAACAGGACCTTGCTATATACAAATTATTTTTAGATTTTGAAGTAACTAAAAAAAGGAAGAGTAGCCAGGTATGCACCTCTCCCCTCTCTCTCTCTCTCTCTCTCTCTCTCTCTCTCTCTCTCTCTCTCTCTCTCTCTCTCTCATCTCCAAGACAGGGTTTCCTTGGTAGATCAGTTTGGACTCAACCTCACACAGATCCAGCGGTCTTTGCCTCACGAGTGTTTTAAGGCGAGCAAGCGCCACTAATATCCGGCTGGGCCAGTGGTGCACATCTTTAATTAATCCTAGGACTCAGGAGGCTGAGGCAGGAGGATCAAGAACTTCTGACTTCTAGGCCAGCATGGTCTACAAAGTGAGTTTCAGGACACCCAGGGCTACATGGAGAAACCCTGTCTTAAACAAAAAAGGAAAAAGAAAGAGCAGAGACTGGAGAGATGACTCAACGGTTAAGAGCACCGACTGCTCTCACAGAGGACTCAGGTCTGAATCCCTGCACCCACACAGTGTCCACAATCGTCTGTAATTTCAGTTCCAGAGGATCCAGCATGTTTTGGCTTCCTCGGGCATTGAATGTGCACGGTGCACACACACACTCAGGCACACACATGTCTATAAAATAAGTAGTTTAACTTTTCAATATCTATGCATCGCTACTAAAATAAGAATCACATTGCCTTCCCCACTGGCTTTCCTCCCCCAGGAGCCTCCTTCCAGACTTTGACATACACATATTATGGGGTGTCCAGACAGCAGTGTCCACTGAGAATTTTCTGGGTGCAGTGCAAAGTTCCTTTGTGACTTTATCTGTAATTTCTCTCTCACTCTCCACGGTAACAGGAATGATGGAGCCACAGCAAGTCTGAAAATTTCATCTACTTCTTTATTTAAAAGTGCCGTCAGGGCTGGGGATGTGGCAGAGGGCTGGCCTGGCAAGCGCAAAGCCCCGGTAGGTCCACCTTGCTCCATTCAATGGCCCCACACCCATGAAGACAAGGGGACACAAACTGAACTGGGGGTTGCAGTTGGAAGTAGGGGTGCGTCTGGAAGGAGTTGGGGGAGGAGTGGGAGATGGACGTGATCAGAACACACTCTGGGAAATCCTCAAAATGTCAATAAACATGTACAATTTTTAAAACATCCCCGAAGAGTGGCACACCCATTTAATCCCAGCACTCAGGAGGCAAAGGCAAGCGTTTCTCAGTGAGTTCGAGTCCAGCCTGGGCATACCTAATGAGTTCCAAGCTAGGTGACTACCTACTGAGACCTTCTCTAACAAAAATAAAATACAAAGATGTCCCCACGGAATTTGAAGGGACCAGCAATGAGAAAGTTCTATGCCTCGCACGAGTAGCTTTAGCCCAGCACAGTGCTCCCGCCCCGGAGTCGGGCCAGGGCATACTGGGCTGCCGCGTGGACCTCACGGTTTCGAAGGCTGTAGATGAGTGGATTGAGAACAGGTGTGATCACCAGGTAGAAAACGGCCACCAGCTTATGATGTCTGGCGGGGAGAGCACTAGAGGCTCGGGGCCGCAGGTACATGGCGCTCACGGTTCCATAGAAGAGCCCGACCACCGCCAAATGTGAGCTACAGGTAGACAGGGCCTTTCGGCGACTCCCAGCCGAGGGCAACCTGCTCACCGCAGCCAGAATCCAGGCGTAGGAGGCTAGGATGAAGGCCAAGGGCACCAGGAGGATGGGCACGCCCAGGCCGTAGACCAGCCTGTAGTTGGCTGTGGTGTCCGCACACGCTGTCCTCAGCACCGCAGGAAGCTCACAGAAGAAGTGGTCCACCGCAGGCCTCCCGGGACAGAAGGGCAGGCGCAGTGCGGCCACCGCATTGGGCACAGACAGTCCAAAGCCCAGCGTCCAGGATGCTCCAGCCAGCGCTGCGCAACGGGGCGTGGTCACCAGCGTCGCATAATGCAGGGGTCTGCACACGGCCAGACAGCGGTCCAGGGCCATGGCGGCCAGGAGGATGGCCTCGCAGCTGCCCAGGGAGATGCCCACATACAGCTGGGCCCCACAGCGCGCCAGGGAGAGGCGGGCACGCTGCATGGCCATGTGTGCCAGCGCCTGCGGCAGCGTGGTGCTCACATAGGCCGTGTCCAGCAGGGCCAGGTGGGTCAGCAGGCGGTACATGGGCCGGTGTAGTCGTCTGTCCAGGGCTATGAGTCCCACCAGGGCACCGTTACCCAACACCGTGGCGAGGTAGGCCAGGAGAAGAGAGGCCCACAGCAAGGGACGCAGGGAAGGTGGGGCCCACAGTCCCAGCAGCAGGAACTCGGGGGTTCTTGAGTCATTGAGGGTTCCTGGCCCCATCCTGGAGACAGAGACAAGGGCAGGATCACTGCAGCCCCTCTGGGCTAGGAGGGTAAGGGATGTGGGGGGCATCCAGCTCCTCCCTCCCCTCCCTCACCCCTCCTTTGTTCTCCCCAACTCTAAGTTATGTCTCGCTTGCCTTTTACTGTAGCTTCTTACTGGTTCTGTCTCTGCCACTCGCAGACTATGTTACACTGAAGGAAGTCTCGAATCTGAAGTTTCCCTCTTCCTCTCCCTTCTCTCTTCCCTCATTCCTCCCATTTCTTCATCCCCAGCCTTCTCCCCTCTCCTCCCTCCTCCCTCCTCTCTCTCTGTTTCCCCCTCCTCCCATACCCCTCCCCTCTTCTCTGTCTACCTCTGTCTCTCCCCCTCTCTCCATCCTCCATCCTCCCCTCTCTCTTCCGGTCTCCCTCCTCCACTTCTCCTTTATCTCCTCTCTTCCCTCTTCCTCTTCTTCATCCACCCACTTCCTCTCCCCTCCCTGCCATCTCCCCTCCTGCCTCCCTGCCAGTCCCTTCCATTATCCCTCCTGTATCCGTAGTTCTACATCAGCATCTGGCTCAGTAATTCACAACCAGGTTCCTTCAGGCTGGTTTGGTCTAAGTCCTCATAAGAGCCTGGGACCCCCCAACTCTAAGCCCAACCCTCCAAATCCAGTGCTAACTCCACCTCCTCACCATCTGTCATTCAGCCCTTCACCCCAAAATATCTCACATAGAGGGTGTTGGTGCCTGGCAGGTGGGGGGTTATGTTAGAGGTTGTAAGACCAAGCCAGCTCTGGGGGCCATTGGACCCCACACCCAAGCATAAACCCCGGGTGGTCCATGCACCAGGCCTTCCGACACTGCCTTCTGCTGCCCTCCTCCTCTCTCTTCCCTGCTTCTTAAACCACTCCGAGCCAGTCATTCTGACGCCCGAAGCTGTGCCTAGGATCCAAGGCTACGTCTCAAGAGGCCCTTCCCTATTTTGCTGGAAAGAGACTATATTATACAACGCTTCCGAGACACACAAAGTCACAGGCACACCTCCTGCCCTCCGTCCCCTCTGCTCTCCCCTTCCCTCTCCGAGCTGTCCGTCTCTCTTCCATCACCGCTTTCTCCTGGATTCACACGACGCCCTCAGATTGTTTTTCCTGGCACTTAACTCCCCCCTCAACTTCCTCCCACCCCACCTATCCTTAGCCACAGCCCTGCCCACCCCAAGTCTTGCCTCCATTTCCCCTCTCTCCTCCCTTTCGTCCTTCTCTCCTCCCTTCCTCGCTGCTTCCTACCTTTCCCTGCGTCCCTCTCTACCTTGTCCTAATCTCTCCACCCAGCCACCCTTTGGAGCCTGTTCTCCTCTCTTCCTATCCTGTCTTGGTGTCTCCCTGTCCCCACAGGTGACTCTGCCTCTAATGGCCTCTTCTGCTCCCCTCCTCTGCTCCCCACCCATCCCCCTCTTCCCCCTGCTCTCCTTGACCATTCATCTCTCACCATCCCCCCTTCCCTCTCCTTTCTTCATCCTCGTTCTCTCTCTTCCCTACCAGGGGCCAGGCCCAGCCCATGTGAAGAGACAGCTGGGCATAAAACCTCTGGCTCGGCTGCACCCCTCTCTGCTGCAGATTAGACAGGCACTAGGGAAGCAGAACGCTCATGGAAATGTCTGGGCTGTTCCTCTCCAGGGAGGACCTGTTCCCCTTAGGGAGACCACGACAGTCTCCCATCCTCCAGAACCCCTTCCTAGATACGTCCCAGCTGACCTCAAAGTTTGTGACGAGGTAACCAAAGGCCATTTGTTGAAAGGATGGGAAAGGAGTGGCCAAGAGGGACAATGTCTTCAGGTGGTTTGCTCTGTACTAATTCTTCCCATGTGCTAAGAAGAAGAATCCCGTTTCCTCGTTTGTAAGATGCAGACAATCTCTGCACGTCTTTTCCAAACTTGTTCGAAGCGTGTGTTAATGCGTTAGAGACACTAGAGAGGTGTATATGAAGCCTGGGGAGATGGTGTTGGAGGCAGAAGACCCTTTACACCCAGAAGTGAGTCCAGGTCACGTGACTGAAGTGAGCATGGCTGGGCCAAGGTGGCCAATGGCTAGAATGTGGCCACCAAAAAAAGAATGTGCGTGTAGGTGGTCTAGCCAACGCCCTGCCAAGTGGGGCGGGAAGGCCATTACTGTGTCAATCACAGGGTGACACATTCTGACTGACCAGGGCATCTGAGAAGACTTCCAGGTTCTTCTCTCAGTGGGTATGTGGACCTTAGGGCTAGGGAAGTACCGTATGTTCAGTTGTATAAGCAACCCTTGAAATTTCCTTGCCCTTGACCAAAAACTCACACTCACTTTAAAGAAGTGAGAACTAACTCCTTTTCTCCTCCTTGACTCTTGGAGAGCACTTTTCCCCCATCTGTTCAACAATCTTGCTGTGTAGCCGAGACTAGCCAAGAACTTACTATGTATACCAGGCTAGACCCAATCTTGTTTTCCTACTGCATTGGCCTGGCAAGTGCAAGAAATAGAGGTATTTTAAGTATTGTGTTTCTTAGGTCATTGTGGGAACCCTAAACTCATATCTATCAACACTGAATAGATGAGCCCAGGACTCAACAGAGAGACCATGGCTGAACATGAGATTCACAAATATCAGAGTCTCCCAGTAGTTATAACCCACTGCAGTCACAGGTGCAGGGGAGGAAGTCAATCATGAGAGATGCCTACAGTCCTATCCTGTGATATTGGGTGAAGACTGTGATGGGAGAGAGATGGAGAGAGATGGGATTCCCCTATAAGACATTCTGACCTACATGCACACGCATCACTTTGTACAACAGCTCCTTTGGGTCACATAGCATCTCATTGACGCCCGTAGGTCTCCCTCAAGAATCTACAACCTCAACAGGCTCACCTCACAGAAACCCCTCCTTCTTTACCGCATAGTGAAGCCACGGCCACACATCCCCATTGTGGAGCAAATAGACTCTTCCCACCACCAAAGGTGCACAGCATGCATGAGGCACCCGGGCTCAGCAGTGGGGGGGGGGTGGCAAATTATCCAGACTATGTTCATTGTGGTATGAGTTTAAGGCCTCCACCCAGGTCCCTAGAGAGCTCTGACCCAGAGGGATCAGGGGACCAATTACAGGACTCCCCACTTTGAATTCTCCCTGGGTCAGGACATCGGGACCACACTAATCTCCCACAAGGACCCATTATTCCCCATCTGTAATTAATGAGGCTTCAGTGTGTTGATCTTGGCCCCAGATCCATGTGGGCCCCTATGGGCGTGAGAATGGAAGTCACCCTGAGAGAAAAGGCAGGAGATTCTCTGCACTATGGTTTTCTCCATCGCTCCTTACCGCCTGCCTTCGGTTTTCACATTATCTGTTTCTTTGTATACTATCGAGGGGGTAGCGGCCAGAGGACCACTTGTAAGAGTCAGCCCTTTCCTTCCACCATATGGGTCCTGCGACTCGAACCCTGGTCTTCAGAGATGCCCTGCTGTCCCTGTCCTTTCTCTCCTGTCTTCTCAGATCCAGGGGCATCTCTCAACCCGTCCCTCTCTACGTTAATTGCTCTCCTCGCTTAGCTCTTGTTCTCTGCCTTTTCTTGCCTGGTATGTCTCTGTTGGGGTTCTCCCTGTCAAATGTCCACTGATCTCCCCGCTACCATATCCCTGCCTCTTCCTCGGCAGAGTTTCTCTCCGCCTCTGACTTGCTCCATCTTTGCATCTGTCTGAGTTTCTCTTACTCTGTTCAACTCTCTGGTTTTCTCTGCTTCTCTCTTAGAATCTTTCTTGTTTGTTTATTTGTTTGTCTGTTTTTGTTGTTTTGTTTTTGAGATGAGGTTTCTTTGTGTAGCTCTGACTGTCCTGGAACTCACTCTGTAGACCTGACTGGCCTTGACCTCAGAGACACATCTGCCTCTGCCTCTTAAGTGCTGAGATTAAAGTTGTGTATAACCAACTTGCATTCTTGTCTAGAATCATTTTCTGTCTGAATATACTACTCTCTCTGTTTTTCAGTCCTTCTCTCCTCTCTCATAGCTCTGTCTTTCACATTTTACTATGTTTATACAAATTTATGTTGGACAGGGTATATGCACATGTGTGCAGTGCCTTCAGAATCCCTAGAGTGCAAGCTGCCCAGTGCTGGAGTTGAGGGACATTGATCTGCGTGTGTGTTGGGAAGCCAACGCTGTCTGGTTCTCTGCAAGAGCAGTTTCCTCTTCTAAGTGCTGCATCATCTCTCCAGGCCCAGATCCATCTCTGTGATTTCTTATCTGCCTTATTTTATGATTTCACAGTTCCCCAATGCCCACCGCTGCACCAATTAACACATTGTATACACGTCCTGTTCTAGACCCTTGGAAAACTCACGAACCCAAACCTTTGTCCCTTGAGAAGGGCCAGGAGACCACAGCCCACTTTGAATAGAGGATCTCATTTTCTTTGTCTCTGCCGAGTGTTTCAGGTACCCATCGCCATACACAACACAAACTAAGTGATGGCGGTGGTTGAATTGCATGGGAGGAGTCCTTCTGTGGGGCAGTGGACAGCTGCCCTCTGTGCCTATGAAACTAAGAAGCTTGGTCTCACTCCATTGCATTAAGGGGATTTGAGGCCACTGCTATAACCGTGTATCAACATCCCCACCTTCCTGATTTAAGCCATTCCCCACTTGAGGCAAGCTTGATGGTGAGGATGTTTCCCTCCTCCTGTTTCTTTTTTCCATTCCAGTGTGTGTGTGTGTGTGTGTGTGTGTGTGTGTGTGTGTGTTTGCATGTATATGGCCACATGTGTGGGGCTGCACCTATACATGTATGCATGTGCATACAGAGGTCCAAGGCTAAGAAGGAATCATCCTCAATTGCTTTCCCACCTTGTTCCTTGAGGAAGAGTCTGTCAATCAAACCCAGGGCTCACACATTTGCCTATTCCCTGTGGCCAGATTGCCGTGGTGAATCCCCCATCTCTGCCTCCCAAGGCTAAGATTACATGCCCACGTAGCATTTGTATCTGTTCTGGGAGGTGAACTGTGGTCCTCACACTTGTGTGTCTGGATTCTCGGAGCTCAGACTCAGGTGTTCAGGCTTGCTTAGCAATCACCTTACCAAGTGAGCTCTCCCCCAACCCCTCATCTTTCTGCTCTACGGGATGAACTAATGTAGGTAAGAGATACAAATGGAACTCACCATGTGTGGCCTATTGTAGTTGGTACCTTTCTCCCTTGTGTGTTCCTAAGGTTAATCCTATTTTTAGCACGCAAGAGTACTCCCTTTCCTTTTCTTTGTAGCAAGATTCACATGACATGCTAGCATCTTGCCCATTTTAGTCTGAGGTTCCAAGTGCAATTATAGATCCATCACTCACTCATTGTTGGAAGTAATGTGAAAGATGCAGCCACTATGGTAAACCATAGGGCTGCTTCTCACAATATTGAAGACAAAATCTCCACACGAACCAGCAATTCCTCATCAGGAGGTAACGTCGCTATTCTCTCTGGGCTGGGGTCCCTCTGGCCACCTCCAATTTGAAGTACAGCAGCTGTTGTAACCCACAAGAAACCCTGTTGCATGACACACTTCCTAGATATACATAAACAAATGTCTTCTCACCCCAGATCTCATGAGTTTCAGTGGGGTTTGTTATACAAGTATGGGTGAGTGGGTGGAGAGTGTTCATAATATTGTATTACTACCGCTGTACAAGAACAAGAACCTGAATCCAAATCCCAACACCCAATAAACAGCCCAGTGTGGTTATGTATACTTCTGTACCCCAACACTGTGGGAATACTCCTGTAACCCTTGCTGCAGGGAGCAGAGGCAGGAGGATTATGAGGACTGCTGGTCACAACCTGAGGTCCAATTTCACTGAGAGACCCTGGATTGAAGTAATAAGACGGAGAGGGAGAGACCGGGGTACTCAACATGGCCTCTAGACTCTGTGTTCACACAGACATGAGTGCACACGCACGTGCGAGCGTGCACACACACACCACACACACACACATACGCACCACACTATGAAGAAGCCAACACATCCATTCTAACATGGTTAGTAACATGGTTAGTGTCAGTGCTAGCTTGCTTTCTTTGGCAATGATAAAGAGGATGACCAAAACCAACTCAGGCAGAAAAGGATTTATTTGGCTTAAACAATCAAATCAGATCCACACTGAGGGAGGTCGGGGCAAGAACTTGAAGAGAGCAGGAACCTGGAGGCGAGACCAGGAGCAAAGGCTGTGGAGGGACACCACTCCCTGCCTTGCCTTCATGGCTTTCTCAGCCTTTTTACCAACAAAATGGGGGATGCCTTCCTATGTCAATGATTAAACACGAAAATGCCCTTCCCTGCTCATTTCCCCACAGGTAAAATATGATGCCAATTTCTCTGTTGAAGTTCCCTCTTCCCAGATGACACTGGCTTGTGTCAAGGTGACAAAAACTAGCCACCAAAGTACCCATAAGTCAGAAAAAAGCAACACTGGTATGCTATGGGGGAAATCCTTCTGTGTGTATGTTTGACTGGCATAAATAAAGCACTGTTGCCCAATAGGGAAGCAAGATAGGTGGGACTAGGAGCCGAGGAGGATTCTGGGAAACAGGCACAGTCAGTCATGATGCCAGAGGAGTAAGAGGTCCGACACTTTCTCCAGTAAGAGAAGACCACATAGAAATACTCAGACTAGCCGGGAGCATGCCTTTAGCCCCAGCACTCGGGAGTCACAGGCAGGCAGATACCTATGAGTATGAGGCCAGCCTGGTCTACAAAGAAAGTTTCAGGACAGCCTCCAAAACAATACAGAGAAACCCTATCTCAAAAAAAAAAAAATTTGACTAGCAGTCATAGGTCAATAATTAGGTCAGAGCTAGTCAATAATAAACCAAGCAAATGGCCAAGAGGTTAATAATTAATATAGTGTCTCATATGTTATTTGAGGGCTAAAATGGCAACACAACCCAGGCAGCTGGTGGAAAGACTACACATTACAGGTATGTCTTGTACATTGTGGGTAGACTGTGACTTTCTACATTGCAAAACATGAATTCTGATAGGATCGGACATAAGTCAATCACCAAATTTCCACATGATCCAACATCAAGAGCAGAAAGACATGTTCACTTTCTCCCTTGTTTGCTTATGTTCATTTTCTCCAGTCTTGTGCAGTTCAGGGCAATCTGCCTAGGAAGGGACGCCCCTCACAGTGGGTTGGGTCTTCCTGCCTAACTTTGACTTATTTTAAGACCATCCCTTACAGGCATGCCCATGGTCAACCAAATATAGACAGTGCTTCACTGAAACTCTCTCCCCAGGTGACTCTACCTGGCATCAAGTTGAGAATTAAAGCAAACCATCTCTTGTGTGACATTATTCCTGGAGAGACATGAGAAAATATCTATTCATCCCAGACAAGGACAGACCAAATTAAGGACACCACTGAAGTTCAAGTTGATGAATCAATGAGTTTTATTGGGTGGCTGGGGGAGCAAAAATGACTCAAAGAGAGTTGTCTCTTAGACTATCTTCATTTCTGCCAGACCATTGAGAAAATGACATTTGTTGCATTTCCCATGCAACTTCAGACTCAGGAAAAAATAATCACAGATGATGGCAGCAATGTGGAATCAAAGGTTAGAAACCTTACAGGTGTGGGAATGAAACTTCACCCAGAAAAAAAGCATGTTTAGAAATTGAATGTAAGAAATTATTTCAAAATAGATTTTTATTTATTCTTGGAAAATTTCACACTTACATACAATGTACTTTGTTCTCATCCTCTCTGCCCCAGCCAAATCCTCCCAGGCCATCACCCACTGCAACTGCTCCCCAATTTTTTGTCTTTCTCTTTTATTTTTAGTGACACACTAAGCCCGATTACTGATGACCAAAATGTGAGTGGGTGTGGTCATGCAATGGGTCCCAGGTAGCCTACCAGCAGCTGCACCGTTGAAGGAACCTGGTTCTTCCTCCTCCAGCAGCCATCATCTGCAAAGCCCTTCCCATCTATGCTGACACACTGGCTGATTCCATCATTGAAGACCTGCAGGTTCCCAAAGACCATCAATGACTTCCTCCAGGACATCGCTGAGCAGTAGTGTGTCTCTGCCCTGTAAAAAGAAGGATGAGGAAGGAAAGGAGGAGGAGGAGGAGAAAAGAAGGAAGAGAATGAGCCATGATACCTAAAAATCTCAGGAAAATAATTCCCAGCAACCACATGGTGGCTCACAACCATCTGTACTGAGACCTGGTGCCCTCTTCTGGCCTGTGGGTGTACATGTGGGCAGACACTGTATACATAATAAGTAAATAATTTTAAAAGTTTTAAAAAAAAAAAAAAGAATGTGTACTGCTCTTCCAGAATCTGAGTTTGAGTGCCAGCATCCATTCCAGGCACCCCCACAGCAGCTGTAATCCAGTTCCTGGGGATCCAATGCCTGTGGCCTCTGTAGGCACCTGCACCCTCCAAGATTAAAAATAGAATAAAACATTTTAAATGACTGACCATTCTCTAGCCCTATAAAATATGTCCTACACGAATTACATTTCATGGATGACGAACAGAAGTGACTTTATCAATGTCTCATGGCTAAAGACTGGTGGTGCCTGGATCCAAAGCCACATGGACTTGCTCCAGCTGTCCCTATGCAGCTGTCTGCTTTGTGCCCACAGGTAAGCCTCTCCCAGAAAGAAGGAAGGGCTGTGTGTGCTCTCCCACTGGGAGGTCCATGCAAACCTTCCTCATTTATCTTCTTCACTCATCACAGCAGAACTGTATCCACGGGCTTCTCACACCGATACTTCAATCCCTTCTCAGTTTCCATGGCATGGCCAGGAGCCCTTGGGACACAGAGAGCTGTGCCGTGACTTGGTCAGACATGAAGATGGCAGGGGCCAAGAGCAGAAATCTTTAGTGACATTACAAGGCATCGAGGGAAGTGGGGACTCTCTCTGTGTAGACAGGGGCAAACACAGTCCAGTAGGTCTGAGGGAAAGTCAGCAAGAGGAAAGCATGGCCAGGACCACAGTCTCTGGGGAAGCAGGGGCTGCAGACTCTCTGCCTCCCTCTGTCTTCACCTGGGGCACAGAGTCACCTAATGAACACAATTCTCCAAGGGGAGAGAGAGTCTTCTGGGCTCTCATTTTCTGCTCAGAGCCAAAGACTGAAAGCTGTGGTTTCTGGATCCCAGTAGGCCCTGGGGACTCCTGGATCGAGAGAGTAGTTTTGTCACCACTTAGTTCCAGACAGACAGAGAAGCAGAAGAGGTGAGCTGACTCTCCATGAAGGGTGAGGGTTCATGCTGCAGGCAAGAATGAACACAGGCTCTGTTTGCCTGACAGATGCTGTAGTGATCCCTGGGAGAGGAACATCATTGGGTTTTCTTTTTCATTCTGTGATAGTGGTGCTGATGGAGGCGTTAATCAGGATGACGAAGATTAAGGTTATATAGTTCTGTGATGCTGCCGTTGATGCTGGTGGTGATGGTGGGGTGATGGTGATGATTGTGAGGATAAAGTTTATAATATCGTGGTGATGATGATGATGATTAAAGTTATGATGATACAGTCATGACATGATGATGACTAAGATTATATTATGGTGACGATGATGGTGATGAGCAAAGCTATACTGATGTGATAATAATGGTGGTTGGTTGTGGTGGAGATACAGATGACCCTGCTGATGGTGACAGTGATTATGGCGGTGGTCCTAGAGTCTTACTGATGGCGACAATGATAACCGTGGTGACACTACAATGATGATGGGGTGATGTTGATTGTGATGGAGGAGCAAGATGAAATTCCTGGTGACCCCAGACCTTGACAGCCTGAGTCAGGGGGATCTCTGTAAGTAGGAGGCCAGTCTGAGGTGCATTCTGACTTCCACACCATCCTGGGCTACGCAGTAAGACCCAGTCTTAAGAAAAAAATAAGGGGAGGGTGCTGTGTTCTTTGTGTGCACATCCTTAGCATAGGGTGGGGATCAGAGGCATGTTAGAAACAGTTCTAATCCTTGGTGGATGCCACGATCATATCTCAAAATGCTCTAATTCACTAAGAATGCTGCTTGGGTGCTGCTAAATGAATTTCCTGGCTCAGAAGTGGTCCAGAAACTTAATCCCTGAAGATGATGATTTGAGATACAGATAGGATCTGATTTTTGTTTTTGGGTGATGGAGAATTTAAGCAGTGAGAGATCATAGCCCTGGTTCTAGTTGAATGATTCATTTTGACATGAAAACACAAAAAAAGACAACAAAACAAAATGTCTGATGATGATTAAAATCCATTCCATACCTACATCCTCAGCCTGGGATCGTCCAGGGTTTCAGTTCTCCAGGACCCTATGCCCAGGCCATAAAGAGTGTGGCTGGAATGAGCTTTGGTACTTTTTGTCCTTACAGTAGTCCTTGTTTCCTGTATTTCATACAGTTCCCTCTCCCCTGCTTTTTACAAGTCCTAACCCACACCTCTTCTCCTTAGAAAACAAACAGGCATCTAAAGAATAATCATAGAACAAAAGAGATAAAGCAAATGCAAACAAACTGGATCAAGCAGAAGGAAAGCCAGGGAAAAAGCACAAGAAACACAGGTAGACTCAGAGACACACATGTTTGCACACACAGGAATTCCATAAAAACACAGATATACACAAAAGACATAACTGAATAAGCAGGGCATGGGTTCCAGGACATCCAGGACTGTCTCAAAACACAAAACAAAAACTCAAAGCCAAACAAAAAACAAACAAACAAAACACCCTGAACAAAACCAAAGTTAATTTCTTTTCTTTATGAATTTTTTTCATAAATTCTATTTGTTCTTTGGCAATCTCACATATATATGTCATATATATTTGTCATATATATGTACATATGAAATTCTGATTACTGTCATTTCACTCTCTGTCTATCTCAACCCAAGTCCTCACTGTCCCACAAATCCATGTCCTGAACTGACATCGCTTTGTTCTGTTTTGGTTTTGTGACACACTAAGTTTCACCAAGGCTGCCTGTGTGACAAAGGCCATGAAGTGAGAAGGAAATAGCAGGGACCACAGATGAGAAGGTTCTGGAAATGAATTCTAGTGAGCCAGAAGTTCAGAAGGGGACTAGGATGGAGAGCCAGCCAAGAACGTCTCACAGGCGTGGTGGATCATGCCAGAGGCAGGAGGATGTCTGTGAGTTCCAGGACAGCCTGATCTACATAAGGAGCCCAAGACAGCCAGGGCTACCTAAGGGTTTTGTTTGTTTGTTTGTTTGTTTGTTTTTGTTTGTTTTTGAAGATCAAGGCTGTAAGGGCAAAGACAGGCTAGATTAGAGGACGAGGTCGCTTTGATTCATCCGCCCTCACTGGGGATTTTAAGAAGGGCACTGTCCATGGTGACGCCTTGGCTTGATTTATCATTCATAAGCTCTCCTAGGCAAGGTGAAAGTTGAGACTCACGAAGTACAATTCTCACTTCATCTTCTCCTCCCTCTGGTACTCCATAGGGTTCCTCCTTGGTCTTTAGCTCAGCAGCCTCGAATCCCGAGCCCATGACACCCTTGTGGGCAGCTCGTCCCTGGACCAATCACAGCCGCGCACATGAGCTGGAGTTCGTTCTGCTGGGCTTTGCACATGTGCCCTCCCTGCGCCCAATGCTCGCAGTGCTCTTCCTGGCCGCCTTCCTGCTCACGCTGCTAGGCAACACGCTCATCGTCCTGCTCACCAGCCTGGACCCAGGCCTGCGAGCGCCCATGTACTTGTTCCTGCGCCAGCTGGCCCTGGTGGAGATCTGCTTCTCACTGGACGTGGCGCCCCGTCTGCTGGTGACCCTGCTGCGACCTGGTCGCGGGATGTACCCCATAAGCTGTGCCCTGCAGCTGTTCTTCGTGCTGTCCTGTGTCATATCTGAGTCCTTGCTCCTCACAGTTATGGCCTGGGATCGCTTCCTGGCCATTTGCAGGCCTCTGCACTATGGTACCATCATGAGCTTGAGGCTGTGCCACCTGCTGGCCACCACCTGCTGGCTCGCAGGAGTCCCTGTGTCGCTGGTCTTCACCATCTGGCTCTTCAACTTCCCCTTCTGTGGGTCTCAGGGCATCCGGCACTACCTCTGTGACATACCACCTCTGCTGAGCCTGGTGTGTGCAGACACCAGAGTCTTCGAGGCCAGTGCGATCGTGGCCACGATGTTAATTATGATTGTTCCTGTATCTCTGATAGTCACATCCTATACCAGGATTCTGGTTGCTGTCCTTCGGATGCCGTCAGCCTCTGGGCGCCACAAGGCCCTGTCCACCTGTGCCTCCCACCTCGTCGTGGTAATTCTGTTTTATTGCACAACGGGGATCATCCACTTGCGCCCCAAGTCCAGCTACTCCCCTGAGAGCAAGCAAGTGGTGTCCCTGTCCTACACCATGTTGACCCCCATGCTCAACCCCCTCATCTACAGCCTGCGGAACAAGGAGGTCAAGGCTGCCTTAGTTCGTGTCTTCATTCAGAGACGAGGTACCTTTACCCCTTGACCTCTCTATATGACTTCATTTACCCGATTCCTTGGGGAGCGTTTCTAACTTAGTGGTCTTGAGGACCTCAATTCACAAGTACGTTAAATCCATTCTAAAAGATTCTATTGCTGGGATGCTCCTTCTAGAATGTGTGGATGATGTCACAATTCCCTAATGTCCCCTTGAACAAAGTCAAAGTATTAACTTGCTCCATGTATTGAGGAGTTAGCATTCTGTTTCTCCACTGACGTAGCAGCTGGATTGGAGTTCAAAAGCATTGTGAAGGCATCTTTTCCATGCAAGTTGAATTGCCAGCTGAAGCACGGAAAAAACAAATTTCAGAAAGAAACCATTAAATTTTAATCTCATATAAATGTTAGGGTATGTTGTGATTTGAGTATGAAATTTGCTCCACATGCTCATATGTTTCAACTCATGGTCCCCCCATGGTGGGTGCTGTTTTAGAGGTAGGAGAATCTTTAGGGGGTGGAGTCTGGCTGGAGGACATGGGTCACTGAGAGTCAACCTTGATGATTCATAGCCGGGTCCCACTTGCTGTTTGCTTCCTGACTTCTGACACAATGTTTCATAATTCTCCCCCCCCCCCCCGCCATGCTTCTCTGCCCACGGGGAACTGAACCCTCAAATGGAGGGCCAATCAGTCCTGAAGAACACGTGTTACTCTTGCAGAAGCCTGGGGTTCAATTCCCAACACCCACCTCTTGGATCTCACTGCCTGTAACTCCAGTTTTAGGGGGATGCGACGCCCTCTTCTGGCCTCCATGGGCACTGCACACACATGGTGAACATGCCTGCTCTCTGATCCACAGATATAAAATAAATAAGAAATAATTCAAAACAGCAAAACTGTGAGCCACAATAAGCTGTTCTTTATTGTGTTGCTTTTGGTCAGACACTAGATGTGGCAGCATGTAAAGTATCTAACAGGTGGTACAAGGATATCTCCTCTGACTTTAAAAATAGTCAAACCTAAGAATCACCTGCACAATTTCATTTGTCAATTAAAAGTAAGTTAAAATCAGGCTCTGAGAGATTAGCATGAGCTACAGTAATGCATTTCACATTAAGACACAGCACAATAAGGAGCCGGGTTTAACGGCGTACGTCTGTAATCCCAGCACAAGGGAGGCAGAGGAAGCAGAACTCAGCAGTGTGAGGTCAGCCTGGTCTACTTAGGGAATTGCAGGCCAGGAAGGGCTGTAGTGAGACCCTGCCTGTAAGACCAAAACAAACCGCAAAGTTATGTTAGGATTGGAAGCAACCTCACAGTGTGTGTGGCTACACAGCTTGCCTTTGATGTGGGATCATTAAGCTAGCTGGAGGACACTTGGATTTACATTATTATTCTCAGCACCTGGTAGTCTCACTAGGTGACTCTTCCTCTTCTGGTTTTTGGTGGAATTTCTGTCTGAAAAGTAATTATGGCATCTCTCTGCCTATGTCTCTGTCTCTCTCTCTCTGTGCATCCACAGGGTGACATGTGGGGGTTGGATGATAACTTGAGGGACTGGGTTCTCTCCGTCCACCACATGGGTGCTTGGGTTTCAAACTGAGGTCATCAGGCTTGGCAGCCAACACCTGTCTCCATGTAGCCCTGTCATCTTCCCACAAGGGTCTCTTTAAATTAGTGTATACTAATGAGAGAGACAAGAGGGTTCATGACCATGTGCGTACACATGTAAAATTATGTTCACACCGAATTATCCTCTTTTGTACCTCCTTCCCCAGCCAAATACAGCTTCATCTGCTTTATCATCTTAAAAAAATTCCATTCTGAATGAATCTAAGAGAAAATATGTGAGATTTTGCCACACCCACTCCAGTGGTATCTGCATGACCAGCCTAAAAACTTGATCACAGGCCCGAGGCAAAAGTTTCATGGAAACAAGTGTCCTGGAGGTCCCTGGCATCCCATATCATCGATGTGCTCCAGAATTGTTCTAGCAATAACCAGTGGATGTTTCTGTACTTTATTTTTGCTATTAATTTTTGTGTAGGAATAAGTATGCCTCAAGGGTCCAATCTGATTGAAGTCCAATAAAATTAGATGTTCCTCCTCTGGTCACCACTGATGTTCCAACTTCCTTGCCAGAAACAGAACTAACAAAATCAGGGGCCGATGGTGGGCTCCTCCAGTAAATAGGGAATCTCCCCAAATGCTTAGGACAACAACTGCTTCCCTTCCTTATACTGGAATTTATGATGAAGAAGATAACAGGAGAACATGTGCTGTATCACACCCTGACTTTCATGGAAAGGCTTGCTATAGGGAGCCTCCCTTGGTGTCTATTATCCAAAGCATAGCAAAATAATATAATCAGAAAATTACAGAAGGCAGGCCAATGGTGGGTTAAGCACTGGACCAAGAATTGAGACTATGGCTGGGGCATATGCCCATAAGACAGGGGAAATTATTCTAAGAATAGTTTGATCTCAGACAGAGCTGATGTTATCATGTTGTAACCACTGTCTGGCTAATACCAGTTCTTATGTGTTTGATTTTCTATTTTGAATTTCTAGTCTCACGATGTGCCTTTTGTGCCAATTTTGCTGACTCCAATGTACCTTGACATGAATGCAAAATTAACTGTTCTATTTTGAACTTCTAGTCTTATGATGTGCCTTATGTGTTGATTTTGCTGACTTCAATGTACCTTGACATATGTACGAAATTAATTTCTTTACTTCCTCATGTAATGATTATAAAAGTCTGATGCATGCCTTGAGAAATTACACTCAGATTCAGCCCTCTCATGTGTTCGCGTCTGTTTGTCCCTCGCTGACTCTTTGCCCACCTGAGTACCGGACCCTGATTCTCCCCGGGTTGAGCGGCCCCGACCCCACCGCAAGATTTGTCTTTCTGATTCTGGCTTACTTTCCTTAACACAACGCTCTTCAGTTCCACACATTTTCCCGAAAATGACGTAATTTTGTTATTTTAGAAATGATTTATTCTTGTTAGGTTTAGTTACGTGCAGGTGTGTCTGCGTGTGAATAAGAGCACACAAGTATCGGAACCCCCAAGATCGGAGGCATCGGATACCCTAGAATTGAAGTTACAGTCAGTTTCGAGGTGCCTGATGTGGGTACCGGCACCTGAGCTCAGGTCCTCTGGAGGGGCTACAACGGTCATGTTGTTGAACTTCATTTTGAGTATTCACGTTTACATCCTTAAATTTGTCCAGGAACCTGGTTAAGATACTTGTTCTTGTCTGTAATGCTGAGAACAAGTGAGTGTGGGCTTGGCTGAAGATTTTATCAGCCCACTTTCAAGGCTCACGATATCAGAACTCGGGCATTATGCTGGCCTGCCGTATCACCTGGCAGAATGCACTCAGGCAGTGCCCGGGCCACCCCAGGGTTCCATGATTGCATAGTCTGCACGCAGGTGCAAAGGACCCCTTTAAACGAAAGGAACCCCCCTCCCAGTTACGCTCTCTCTTCCAGCTGTCTTTGCCCGCATCTCTCTTTTGCGCTGTTCCCCTGTGGCAGACGGGACGTTTCCTGTCTCCCTCTTCTCTTCCGTCCTCTCTCCGTCTCTGTGTCTCTTCACCTCTTTTCTCTTTGTTCCCCCTTCCCTTTCCTTTCTAATGAAGCGTCTCACTTAGGCTCTGTCTGTCTGGCGTGTTTGTCCCTCCACCTCGGGCTCGCTCGCCTGCCATGGAATGCACCAAGGCTCCCCCACTCAAGGTCCACTCAAGGCCCCCCTTGCTTCATCGTAACACTCATGATACATCTCTAGGAGGAGGATGGGAGAGCTGGAGAATGGGGAGGAGTGCTGTGGAGTGCTGTCCCCCCAGACATGACACACCCGTTGCACACATGAAGTTATAGCAGCTGGGACCACCCACTCAGGACCAAGCCGGTCAGGCATTCCAGCATGAGGCCCAATGGTGCTTTGCCATGGGTGTTGGGTCCCCTGGAACTCCAGTTACAGACAGTTGTGAGCTGAAACGTGGGTGCCAGGAATTGAACCCAGATCCTCTGGAAGAGCGAAGAGCGTTCAGTACTCTTAAGTGCTGAGCCATCTCTCCAGCCCTTGGCAGCCCCTTTCCTATAGTGTGGTCCCTGGAATGTTGTCTGAGCCCATGGATGATCCTATGCCATGCACTTAGGGACAGCACTGATTAGATTATAAGATTATAAGAGAACATGGGGTTGAAAAGGAGACGTTATTGGGAAAGCAGGGGGAGTTGGAGGTGGGGAAATGAGGGGTGGATGTGTGTAAGATACATGGTAGACATGTACAAAAATCTCAAAGAACAAATAAAAATTAAAACCACAAATCCCATCTGCATTGAACACATAAATGCTTGTTTTTCTTATATTTTGCAATCAATGCATCATAAGCAATATTATGTAGCCCTCATACAATATTTGCTATACAAGTGACTAGGGGAATATACATAGACTATCTGCTAGTACTGCCCCAACTGGCAGCAGATTTCTAGAGGGTTGTGGATTTGGGGGGCAGGCCTTGAGGTTTGAAGAAGGCTCAACTCCCCTTCCTGTTTGATGTTTCCTGACTGCATATGCAATGTGATCAGCCACCCAGACTCCTGGTGCCACGCCTTTAGCGCCATGACAGACGGTGTCTCTTCCTTAGCTGTCAGCTGATTTTCATCAATTGCCCACTCACAACAAGAAGAAAATGAGCTAATCTACCCCGAGAGGACTGACTGCCTCACACCTTGCAGGTGACCCGTCCCAAGCTTCTTGGAGTAAGATGTGTCTCCAACTTTCACAGCATACCCTTCCCAACACTCAAAGAACTGCTCTGGGATATTCCTTCTGTCACTGTGGCTTTGTTTTGCTCTCATTGGTTAGTAATAAGGCTGATTTGGCCTATAGAGAGGCAGAGTAAGGCTAAGTGGGAAACCCAAACTGAAAAGACACAGAGGAAGAAGGCTTGAGTCAAGAGATTCCAGCCAGATGCCAGAGAAACAAGATGCTCTGGTAAAACCACCAGCCATGTGGCAAATGCAGCTCAATACAAATTGTTTAGTTTAGTTTGTAAGAGCTAGTTAGTAATAAGTCTGCGCTATAGAATGAGCATTTTGTAATTAATATAAGCTTTTGTGTGACTGATTGGAACCTGGTGTTCAGGACAAAAGAAAAACTGCTTCCATTTACAAACAACTGCAATTTTTTTGTAGTTCTGAGATCTCTTTCCAGATTGGCAAGAGGGTAAGTCAGTGATCCAGAACACTTAGACACTTGGAGTTTTAACAATAAACTCATTTGTGTTGTTTGAATCACTGACACTGCCCAGTTTCTACAGTGCTTTTCATCCTGTAAAACAGAAACCTTGTACCCAGTATTCACTCTTTAGTCTACTTCTTCATGCTGCTAG